CGAGGGGGGGGGGCAGAGAGTGAGAGATTAAAATAACCTGTATGTCGTGTTGAAACACTTAGACCTAAGGGGTTTGTTTGTTTGTTTGTTTGTTTGTTTGAGTAAAGAGAAGCACATCGACAATATCATAACGATCGTGTAGTTTGTTTTTGTAAGTGTTTTACGGCGCTCGCAACTGCATAAAGTCATATGAGCGCGCAGGACACATTAAACATTTTCGTTTGGTAGGAAATTTTGAATTTTGTCCGGTTGGCGGCCGTAGCCTACTTTTATCGATTTTAGACCACCGAGGGATCTTTAACTTGTACAACTTGCACACCCGACCTCCGAGATTTTTCGCCCTTGTCCGAGAAGGCTAGATGTAGATCTTTCCTACCAGAAGATCAGGGGTGTGGCTGAAATACAGCAGTTAGAAGGAGCCAAGGAGAAACAGTAGAAAGGCTGCAGAAAGAGTCAGGAGCCCAGAGGAGGGGGCAAAGGAGGCGAGGGGGTGGGGGGCAGAAAAAGGAGATGAAAGCAGACGACAGAATATTGTTACAGAGCTGGAAAGGAGGTGGAAGGAGACAATTTTAGAGAAGAAAAGTTTTCGGTCGCTACCCGAATTCGAACCCAGTGCCTTTGAATAAGAGACGAACATCGTACCCTCTGGGCCACGAGAGCCCCCGATAATGTAGTGCCGGGAAACGGTGGTCGGGGGGAGGGGGGGGTAGAGTGTGCTTTGTCACAGTGCCACAATATTGTGCTGGGACTGAGCAAAGAGATAGTCACGTGACGTGACACAGACGTGTAGACACACTGGGGGTGGGGCGGGGTTAGGGCAGACATAACAGAATGGTGGACAAGACGAAACTGCGCAGAAATGGCAAAAAATTATAGACAAAAAATGGGACTAGAAAAAACTGAAATTACAGAGGTTTTTTGTAGTTTGTTTTTTTTTGGTCGTTGTTTTGTTGGGTTCTATAATTGTTTTGTTGAGGTTTGTCTATTGGGTTTTTGTTTGTTGTCGGTTTGTTTTTTGGGTTTTTTGTTGTTTTTTTGTTTTTGTTTTGTTTCACGAAAAGAGACATAAATGACACAGAATTACTGGAAAAGTCAACGACAAAAAACCGCGGTAGAGATGAAGATTAGAACGGCGCAACTTGCTCATGGTGCTGCTCTCTTAGGAACAAAGCAATGAGAGCGCCTAGTGGGGTTGGTTTTGTTGTTGCTTTGTTTGTTTGTTTATTTAAATAACACTTTAACGATAATTTCAGACGGGGAAGGAGTAGGCTAAAACGGACGTACCAGTAACACCCTTCAACCACCCGCTAATTAGATTGGGAAGCTTTCATTTTTAGAGTGGAATAGAAAAACTAGGGCCCGCGGGCCTGATTCGGCCGGCGAGCAGTTCCAGTGATAAAAACATCCCACTGTCGTTCTTCAAGATTGAAACCAATAGTCTGTGTACGAGCTGGAAGGAACAAATATACTGTTATTTCATCTGAAGACATGCCCTAGAGTGAAACATGGTATTGTGTTAGGTTTCCTCTCACTGTGGAGAGCTTGGTATTTCCACCAATGGATTCCTAGTTTCCCCTGCTTTGGCCCGCCAGATGTTCGGAATCGCTTCGCCCTGTCAGATGTTCGGAATCGCTTTTAACCCGCCCTGTCAGATATTCGGAATCGCTTTTAACCCGCCCTGTCAGATATTCGGAATCGCTTTTAACCCGCCCTGCCAGATATTCGGAATCGCTTTTAACCCGGCCCGCGGGATAGTTGAAATCGCTTTTAACCCGGCCCGGGACATATCTGGAATCGCTTTTAACACGGCCCGCGAGATATTTGGAATCGCTTTTAACCCGGCCGGCGACAAGGACTCACTTGCCCATGGCTGTCTGAGTATATGTCGCCTTGAACGCTCCACAAAGTGACCATTGTTCAAGAACGCCCAGTCTAGGATTCGAACCAAGGCCATTCGCTTCGTTGTCTGGAATAATTCCAGCCCTTGAATAACGTAATATGTGTAGATATTGCGGGGTGTACAGTGAGCCTGTGTCGTTCTGTTGTGTGGCTGGTTGTAGGTCTGTGTGTGGGTGGGTGTGTGTGTGGCGGGGGGGGTGAGGGGTGTTGTGGGGATATTTA